ATCACAGTTTTGAAGGCTAAAGTCATCTGAAATTTGCTGAACTATCGTTGACACTTATGACCGTTCAAAACATTTCCATAAACTTTTTTGATATTCTTTGTGGCTACATATGCATTTTTTTCCCTTCTTGTATTCAAACAGCATTATATGCCGATTGTGTGTCTCGTCGTGTACCATCACTATAAGGGATTAGAGTATACTAAACTTTACACATTATATAGACTACACTAATGTGACGTTTAGGTGGTTCGTTTAACTATTATACGTGATGTACTTTTTTTGGGAGGTAGTTAATAAGTGTTCCAAGACATGACATTAATTTCTTAGCAACCTAATATTTATGTAAATACATATATGATACACATAAAGGAGTCACAAACAAGGAGAACAAAAACTAAATGGTGAATTTAATACTGTTAAATGGTGCATAACATCAGAAAAAATACAAAAGAAATGCAAATAAACTGTACAATGCACAAGTATTTTATAGACGAGCCCTTTGCAATACAAAGAGTATTACACATTGTTTTCATGTTGCCCAGCAGCTTATCAATGTACAGCAGCAGAATATTGTTCCAATTGCCTTGCGTTACTCCCCACAATTCAGCCAAGGTGTTTGGTTGCTTTTTGACATTTTCAGTTTTTAAATAAGCCTATACAGTTTCAAGCCAAAGTTGTGAGTGTTCCATCAGCCTCTTTACCCTTAAAACTTTGATTCACCATATTTGCTTATGCTTGGGACTATTGTCTTGCTGAAAGGTGTACTTATCAGCAACCATGATGCCATGACTTTTGTGTATATCAATGACACTGCTGGTACAGATGCAGCCCCAACTTGTTCTGATCCTAGACAATATTTCACTGTAGATTTTGTATATTGGATCTATATACTGTTCGCTCTTTGTGGTCTGATGCTCATTTCAATCTTTCGGTTTAGTGACTTTTTCTCAGCAGTGGTTTTTGATCAGCTACATGATGTCCAATGGGAAAACTTTATGCTAATATGCATCTTGCTGTCAACAGATAACATTCACTCTCATATTTAAAGAAAGGCTGCTGGCAACACCTGTACTCAACCACTATCTATTTCATAAAGAACATACCCTGATATAGTTAACTTCACATTTGGAGAACTCTGATTTTCTATTTCAGGCACTGTTGGTATTAACAGTGCTAGTTTCATGTACCCTCTTCAGAAGTTTAATATACAGCTCCTACTAAAACAAAATGTTTTGCTAAAATTTTTCACATGGACTGTCCATGACTGGCCAAAACTTTGATTTTTAGATGCTTGTCATTGGTATTTCAGTCCTTAGAATGATGATTGCAATCCCATTATTACTACTAGGCATAGTATGACTTCCTGACTTTTACGGATAAGAACCAATCACATTGTAAACTATCAACACATGACCATACTTTGGTGCAGTTCATAAATAAAGAGGCAGCAGTACCTTTTTCCCAACCATTTTCATAATTATTTCTGATACTGTATGTATGCAATAATATGTCTTTGTTGGTTTATGTATGTATATATGTCAACTAATACATGCAAATCAATCTTAGTTTTAAAAATAGTCAATTATCTATACACACTATAATATCTTTTATTACTTTAGCCATTATTATCAAAAAATCAAAATATTTTCTCCACAACTTTATACCACATAAATTCATTCACATCAGATAAAACATTATATTAGAATTATTGAACCAGCAAACCTGTACTAGAAGGGATGTCCTGTGATTAAGGTCTTCTAACAATCTTTCACCATCAGGTTGTGCAGCTAGTTCCATACGAATCATCCATGAAGTAACCTGATGATAGGATATCTGGGCATCCCTGAAATTTAAAAGAAGGTGTATATGAGTAAATCTGCACCATGCTAATACTCAATTGTGGATTAAATGGGGGTATCTACTTAATAATTCTTATAAATTTCTAAATAAAGTTACCATTCTATCACTATCTATCATATAAATATCATGCAAAGATGTAATCAGTGTTTAATAAAACAAAATTTTTAGCATTTTACTAAAATTACTTTATAAACAGACATGACAAAAGAGTACTTTGGAAGTGATTGGCTCTTCTGCTGGAGGTAGTTTAGTCTTTGATTCTTAACAGCGTCTTGTGCCTTTCTGTCCATGGATTTGGCCATGTGAGGCAACTGCATTAACAAAAACTGATCTGGAAACCAGAGTATATTTCCAACCAATGGTACTGCAGGGACCTAGATAAGAAATAAACCTTTATATAACGATTCACAAAAAACACCACCATTTCTAGTGTTGTTATAAACAAAGAATATGTATGATTTAGAATTCTCAAATGAAAACAGAAATCACTAAATACTTTCAGCATTTTCTTTTCTACAACTGAACAACATATACATATTCAACATCAATTTCTTTTTTACTGCAAAATTGTAAAGAATTCAATTTTTCACTTTCATCCTAATCCCTGCCAGAAATATGTGAAACAGCTGTATCAGAGTATTTGTTTTTATTACCACTTTCAATATGGGCTCTGTCAAGTTGGCCAACCATGTGGCCTTTTAGTACTCGTTTGAAGTCTTTATAGATTTAATACTTCTAACTTTCAATATAGTGTGTATATTTTCACAAAATTTGGCAGTCTTTCAGTTAATATTACGAGTCTTTCAAATACAAAAAATCATAATTTTAGTGAAGCATTTTTAATAAAATAAAGACTTGTCCAAGAATTTATTGAGTATTTGTTTTGAATAGTTAATGTGCAAAGTAATTTTCATGTTAAAATTAAAAATACCTTTCCTCATTTCAAAAATCTCAAATTTCCTTTGTGTAATCCCTAAAACTTCCTAAATGCATTTCAAACGTTTTTTTTCAGGAAAACTTTATAGTTTATCTGTTATTTTCTTTACCTTATCTCAAAATAGATCTATCAATTTGACCAACCTCATAACCACCAAAAAATAAATCAAAATAAACCTAAATTAACTTTCTAGAATGACTTCAATTGTAACATGAAACTACATTAGTTTATCCTAAGTAACTCTAAGTTCGTAACATTATACATCTATTTATAATTAAATTTTATTATTTTATTGCCTTTTGACTCATGTCTAACTACTATTTGCATCATTATAAGATGTAAGTCACTTGGGGAATGCGCAGCTCACATTACGCTATTGAATTACATTATCCACGAGCTGTTTGCGTGCGTGCCTCATGAACCATTTTAATTATATTATTATTATTATTAATTATTTTACCTTATCTGGTCATAAATAACTTAAAAAAACTATATTTTTAGATTTGAGTTATTTTACAATAATAAATAAAGAATAAATATGAAAAACAAGAAATAAAGTACTTACCTAATCTTCTTTTTTCTTGCTGTTGAGTTTCAAAGAGAGTTAACCCTAATTTTTTATATTATAGATAGTAATGCAATTAATTTTTATTTAATTAAATAATGCACCACAGAATATAGACTAATAACATACAAAAGTAGACAAGTTCACTTACTTCTCAAAATTTTCCTGGCTTTCTAACTATGCGATAAGAGTTGTTACAAATTCATCCAAGCTAGTCGTTAATGTTCCCACGGGAGGGAATCTTGTACTGTGAGTGAAATTGATGATATTCTGTTCAGAATACAACATTATACAATACTTCATTTGATAGATGAAAACCTTGACTTTCTATTGGTTATAGGTAATATATAATGAAATGTAAGAGAGAACTATCAACGAATTGTGAAAGAGAGGATGTGACAGGTGGGAGTGGCAAGAGTAGTCTGGTTTTCTATTTGATGATTCTGTAACCAAATAAGATTGAAGGGTATAAAATTATGCTTTGCCTGAGTGATGACGACATTATAATGAGTAATTTATGTTAAATTTTGTACTTCTTGAAGGGGTGGTAAATAAATTCGAGAAGAGAGGTTGCCTAGAGAGAAAATGTCACAATTTTCCTACTAGGGGAAATTCAGGATTTTACTTTTTAATATTGCCTTATGAAACTAAGAACTTAAAACTTATTTGATTTTCTATTCGATTGCTCTGTAACCAAACAAAATTGAAGACTATAAAAATTATGGTTTGTCTGAGCAATAACGATTTTATAGAGAGTAATTTATGTTTAATTTTTGAGGGGTGATGTATAAAGTAGGGATGATGACATGCTAAGACAAAATGTGTTACAGTAGTGGAAATTCAGGATTTTTATTTTATATTCCCTTGTAGAATTAAGAACTTAAAACTTATATACTATTAAAATATGGATTATTAGCTAAGATTTTATGCTATTCTAATTGGTATAACATAAACAAACTGTAGTTTGATAAAATTTTGAATGTAAGACACTAAAACCTTGTGTCATGCACAGTGAGGGATACCAAGGGCAATAGGGTTAATACTGAGTTTGTACAATACTATGAGGTTTCACAAAATCACTGTAGATCTTTAGAATATGTAAGTACTGAACTCTAAACTTAAAATTAATTATCTCAAATGAAAAAAAAAAGATAAGTTTTAACTGCAGTAGTTATTCCCACACCTTTTTATAAGTATCCCATATCTGTTTGAACTGTTTTCTGTCCACTGTACGGAAAAGGTAAAAATGAAGAACATACAAGGCACAGATTCCTACCAGTTTGGCTCGAGTATCAAGTTCATTCAACTCTCCTAGAAAAGGAATTATTTTTAACATAATTTTAAAAAAATTTTTAAAGTGTATTTCACAAATATTAAAATAAATTTCAGTATGATAAATAACAATTTTAACCACCTACTTCATATCTCATTTGTACAAGAAACTGACAACCAAAAGTTTGTTTTTCATTACCAAGTTCTTTCACAGAGTTCAAGTTAAACTATTCTCCCATAAACAAGAAATTATGATTTTGCATACTAACAAAATTTGAAAAATGTGAGTTTATTATAATTATGCAATATGTATCTATAAATGATTATCCTCTTCATGCAATGTTGAATAAAACAAATGAACTTTGTTTTTGCTATGACTATAACTAATAGGAAATTGAAAAATCGGACACTATGTGGTGCTGTTTTGTAACATCTGGTATCATACATTCTGTAATTACTGTTAAAAAAATTACTTTTGCTAATAAAATTGCTGATAATTTTTAATTATTCTTTGCATATTATACAAAATACAAGATGATGAAAGACAATTATGACCCTACATAACGGAAAGGGAAATAAAAAACAGAGAATTTAGAAGAAAAACCTAATTTGACATCACTTATATAAATCATTCAGTAAAGAATATTACAACATTTTCAGCCTACCTAGTTTTGGTTCAACTTGAGCAAAAATATTCCTCAAGTTGATGAAAAACTCCTCAGCAAAGACACTGTTTTTAGAAACAAAGGCTTTTCCATCATCAAAACCTTGTTCCATGCAACCCTTTGAGGAATAAATATCGATTAATTAACATCTTAAACTCAATCATGCAATGAACAAGTTTAAATTTCAGATCTATAATCTGGTATTCATACTTTTCCTCTTCACCGACAATTTAAAAATGTTTTAAACACCTTTCAAAATGATTAATACTGAAGGTCAGTTCACTTTATATGAAACATATTTCAGGTCAGATGCTGCACTTAGAATTACTCTTGCTATCATTATTCTTTCTAAGTTTGATTGCATGATTTTGCATTATTGATTAATACCACAATTTCTATTGTAGCAAGCATCTGCAAAGGTCAGCAAAGTTAGTCTTAGACTACATATCTTGACAAACTTTCTACAGACACTCCAATGAAATAGATGTCTACTTCAAAGCCTACATTTAATAAAGACCAAAGCCATAAATGGCCAATGGAACTTCATTGAAGTATCTGGTCAAATATTCCAGTTTCTTTGGTTGTCTTACATTGAAAACAGCCATTGATTTCAAGATGTTGTTGAAATCATGTGAACATTTGGCTTATGAGCCTTGTCAGCTTTAAATCCACATTTTATTAACTTGTTATTGGTACCAAGAGATCTGTCAAGCTTCATTGCAATCATGAAATTGCTTTTTAGATGAAAAGGTTCTCTGTCGTAACTACAGCTTTCACCCTGAGGATAAGGGCCACATATGCGCTTCCAGAGGAAAGTTCTGTCTCAAGTACTCAGCTCTGTAAGCTTTTCTGCTTCTATGAAGAACATTACAGGATTTCTTATTCAAAATAGCATTTCCTTTCGTTCTACTTCATCAAACAGTCTTTCTATATGAATATTTTCTCTCACAAAAGGCTGGGACATATATCCCTCCACCCATACATATATCTATGAAGCCAATGCATTGTTGAATGGTCAGGAATTCATCATGAACCAAATATGTAGCTATGATGGCATATGCAGTGACCCTCCACCACATCCTTCATGAAGAGTACAATTAACCTTCTGTACAAATGTTGAAAAATTCTAAGATTCAACTGAAATCTGTTCCCACACCATACTTAGTAAAGTTAAATGCAGCTAAGAGCAAAACCTTAACTTTTAGAATAAGTTATAAGGTTCTTGTTACAAAACTAATACTGGAAAAATTGTTGAAATGTCAAGTCCAGCTTGTTTACAAACTATGTTTACACTCACATTTACTGTAAACTATATGATTTTAAACAGCATACTTAATGATCATAACTTGAAATAGCCTGGATTAACTGTGCTTTTTATTCACATGCCATGGAAGGAGGCAAAAGTCTACAACACACCCAAACTTTATCTGTAAGCTTTCTCAGTGTTGTACTCTTGGAAAGATTTTTCAGTGTTGCTCAAAGAGCCTAGATACACAAATATAACTCATCCAACAGACAAAATGCTTAAATTTATAAGTTGTTATCTCATAAAATACAATATAAAATACATTCACTGTGGACATAATATTATAATCAGTATCTAAATAACACTCTGTGTCAATTTCACTTCATTAGTGATGGTATTGGTGCTTACTTGATAGAAAAATCAGTCAAAGTATATAAACAGTCACCTATAAATTAACCTATCAAACACACTAAGACAAGCATTCAACAATGTCATATCCAATAATAAGAAATACTTTCACAAAATCACAACTGTTTTCAGTTTTTCACATGATAACATGTTTTCTAATAAATGAAATTATTTTTTGCCACAAGCGACTCATCTTACCAGGAATATCCTTCCTTGTAACAGCCGAGTTTCAATCTGGCTTATTATTTTTTCAAACGGTTTTAATTTATCCATGCTTATGCCAAACATGGTGGAGTTGCTGTGAACGGACTTAATCATTCTTTTATACAATGTCCAGTGTTCTCGAAAAGTTGCCTGAGATTGAACAATCTCATCAAGAGTTATTAGAGTTGTAAGCAGTTCCCCAAGATGTTCATAAACTCTCTAAAAGAAAAAAATTGCAATAAACTGTTCCTTTAAGTATTCTTGACAAAAAACAATATTCACATTCAGCATAAAAACTGATTCAGATTTTGAAAATTTATTTCTTCATAATTTAACTATAAAACAATTCTACATTTGCCGAGCTTAGCTAACAAGTGTGAACCCTACCACTGAACATAAATACTTGTATATAAAAACTTCTTGTACATATTGCTTAAGAAGTTGAACTCCAGGAAACATAATTTGAACATTAAAATTCTTATTTACCAAACAAATATATTTTATTGATAATTTGTTATATATATGGTCTTATTAGCCTTAATATAAAAACATCGCAAGACAGTAAGTTGGTCTGTGTACTGTATAAAACCAATGGGATCTGAAATGTTACACCTCAGACATCAATGGTGTTATAAAATCAGTTTCCCAGTAATTTGTTTTCTCTCTCTCCTAAAAATTTAATTTTAGTGTAAATAACTTGTTATTAAACTACGTGTCAAATTTTGTTAATAATAAGAGTATGAAGCTTCATTAATGCTTAGATATTTGTCATGAATTCAAGTTTATGATGATTGGTTGTATCGTTTAACAACCACAAGTTACCAACGTTGATGAAGGTATATTTTTTCATGCCTTAGTTTAACCCTTCCATTACAAGCTGGGTGGAATCCATCCAGCTTGTAACCAGAAAAGTATCTTTACAAAATTTTGCAGATTATTAGTAAACATTACAAAATTTCATACACAAAATATCTGGTTTTTGAATTATGCTTTAAGATTTTTTTATTAAAGATTTGCTCATGGATTTTTTCTTTCAGAATGTTGATTATCCAACATGCACAGTAATTTTGATTTTAAGATTAAAAATACTTTTCTCTATCTGAAATTTATGAAGTTTCATCTGTGTAATCTCTATATTCTTCTAGATAATCATCAAACGTTTTTTTTAAATAAAACTTTATGTTCAATCTGTTATTTTATCAATATTAACTCTACATGGTGTTGATTGATTTGACCAACCTCAAACCATC